ACTTTCAAGGAAGGTATATCCCAACACGCAAACCAGAGACACAGATATCTACTATGGAAAGATAGTAAACATATTACCGGTCCTTAGAGTGGCCAGGCTTAACGTGGAAGTATAGAATGACAAAATAGAGAAAAACAAATGGAGGGTATGGACGAAGTGTTTAACCCCTTAAGGACGGAGCCAAATGTACACAGTGTGAACGAAACAAAATGTAAACAAAACCTGGCATTTGCGCTACATGTCTGTCCAACCGTAATACACCTCTTTCATAGTAAATGCACCCACCCTTATTATATATCATTTTATTGAGGGGAAACAGGGCTTTCATTTAATATCAAATATTTAGCTATGAAACATAATTTAATATGAAAAAAATGGGAGAAAATAAGATTTTTTTTGATTTTTTTAGTTCTACATGACATTTTAACGGTCAGTGTCATAATACTGTTTGCTTTTACTGCAATAAAATACACATATTTGTATTCAGCAAAGTCTCACGTGTAAAACAGTACCCCCTATGTACAGGTTTTATGGCGTTTTGGGAAGTTACAGGGTCAAATATAGCACGTTACATTTGAAATTGAAATTCGCCAGATTGGTTACGTTGCCTTTGAGACTGTATAGTAGCCCGGGAATGAAATTTACACCCATAATGGCATACCATTTGCAATAGTAGACAACCCAAGGTATTGCAAATGGGGTATGTCCAGTCTTTTTTAGTAGCCATTTGGTCACAAACACTGGCCAAAGTTAGCGTTAGTATTTGTTTGTGTGAAAAATGCAAAAAAACGCCAATTTTGGCCAGTGTTTGTGACTAAGTGGCTACTAAAAAAGACTGGACATACCCCGTTTGCAATACCTTGGGTTGTCTACTATTGCAAATGGTATGCCATCATAGGGGTAATTTTCATTCTTGGGCTACCATAGGGTCTCAAAGGCAACGTAACCAATCTGGCGAATTTTAATGTGAAAAAAATGAAACGCAAGCCTTATATTTGACGCTGTAACTTTTGAAAACACCATAAAACCTGTACATGAGGGGTACTGTTGTACTCGGGAGACTTCGCTGAACACAAATATTTGTGTTTCAAAACAGTAAAAAGTATTGCAGCAATAATATCATCCGTGTAAGTGCTGTTTGTGCGTGAAAAATGCAAAAAACTTCACTTTTACTGGCGATATCATTGTTGTAATACATTTTACTGTTTTGAAACACTAATATTTGTGTTCAGCGAAGTCTCCCGAGTAAAACAGTACCCCCAATTTACAGGTTTTATGGTGTCTTGGAAAGTTATAGGGTTAAATATAGTGCTAGCAAATTAAATTCCCTATACTTTCGGCATGGGTTGTCAGGCAGGTCCCGCTAATTGTAATTAATTAGGATACCTAATTATGTAAAAATATTACATAAATATATGTGTAGAATTAATATATGTATATATATACATATGTGTATATATACATATATATATATAATTTTTTAAAATATTTTTATTTATATATAGGTGTATATATTTAGTGATATATATGTATATATTTATGTATATAGATATATATATTATTTCGTTCTACGTGTATTTTGATATAAATATATATATATTAATATCACAATACAGTTAGAACGAAATAAACATCTATATAATTTTTTATTATTTATTTTTAATTATTTTTGTAATTTTATTTTTTTTACGTATTTACATTTTTTTATATTATATATAAATATATATATATAACAATAATTATATATATATATATTTAATCAGTATTAGTCTACGTGTAATTTGATAGTAATATATATATAAATAATTATATATATTAATATTTAAATACACTTCGTGTATGTGTAAATGTGTGTGTGTGTGTATGTATATATATATATATATACTTAGATCATATATATATATAATATATATGATCTAAGTATATTTTATATTTAACTGTAATTTTTTTTTTTTACTAATATTTTATTTATTTTTACAGGACAGGGGGCAGAGACAGTGTCAGCCAGTGATTTTACATCACTGGCTGACACACAGGATCAGTGATCACAGTGACTGCCTGTCACTGTGATCACCTCCTGCAGATTGGGTAATTGGCCACAGGGGGGAGTGCCTGGGTGGTACAAGCACTCCCCCTTCCAATCTGCAGGGGGATCTGTGTGCCAGTTACATGTGTCAGCCAATAGGCTGACACATGTAACACTGATCGCAGTGACAGGCTGTCACTGCGATCAGAGTGCTCTGAGATCGCAGTGACAGCCTGTCACTGCGATCTCAGAAGGTGCAGATCGCGGTCACTGACCCCAGGGGGACTGCCTGGGGGGCCAGGTAAGTCCCCCGACCGCGATCTGCACGGGGTAGCCGCTGGCCACGTGTGTCAGCCGATTTGAAATCGGCTGACACACGTTAAAAACTGATCGCAGTGACAGCCTGTCACTGCGATCAGTGACTGCAGATCGCGGTCACCGGCCACAGGGGGGGTTGCCTGGGGGGCCGGGCATCCCCCCCGACCGCGATCTGCAGCGGGCGAATAGCGCCGGCCACGTGGGCGGCCATTAAAGTGAGGGCGTACTATTACGCCCGCCGGCGTTTAGAGCCGGCTCCTGCAGGGCGTAATAGTACGCCCTCCGTCCTTAAGGGGTTAATCTGTGTCAAAGCTAAGAGTGGAGTAACCCAACTTGGGCAGACTTACTTTTAGGAAAGCCATTTGCTCCATGAGCTGCGGTGCCAGTTGGGAGTGCTGAGGGCACAGTATGTTTCCGGTAACAGAAAAAACACGTTCACTCTGGTTGGGGGACAAGAGAGGAGCTCCTGGGCTAACAGAGAGAGAGCAGGCCACACCTCTTTTTTCATCACAAAAGCTCAAAGGATCTGTAGTAGGGGGCATAGGTGGTTTGCCAAGGAAAGCCTTCACCATCTCTGCGGCACTACTTCCTTTTCGTGAGGGAACCGTAGTGGGTCCAACCAAAATATCCAGGGCCTCAGCCCAAAACGCAGCTGCTCCAGTGGATTGAGCAGTGCTGCTTACACTGCTAGATAATGATGCTACACTATTGTTCCTCTTCCACCTACTAACTTGACTGCCTCAGTGTTTGCAACTCACTTCACTGACAAGATCTCTACAATCAGGGAAGACATCTCTCATCTTTCTTCTCCTTACAATACTTCCCCTAACCTCATTCCCTCTGTTGTTCTATGTTCATTCGCAACTACTACAGCGGAAAAGGTTTCTGCTCTGCTCTAGTCCTCCCACCCCACCACCTGTTCCCTAGATCCAATTCCCTCTCATCCATACTTTGTCTTCTTCTCTTTCTCTACCTCTCACTAAAATTCTTAATCTCTCTCTCTCCTCTGGCATATTTGCATCACCCTTCAAACATGCAGCTATAACCCCAATTCTAAAGAAGCCCAACCAGCATCCTATCTCGCTACTGCCTTTTGCATCCAAGATCCTTGAAAGAGTTGTTGTATGCGAGATTGACAGACTTCCTCGAGTCCAACTCTCTGCTAGACCCGCTTCAGTCTGGTTTCTGCGCTAAGCACTCTGTGGAAACGGCACTGACCAAAGTATCCAATGATCTACTCGCTGTAAAATCTCATACTCACTAAGAGTGCCGAACTCCTTCCTTCCAGACTTGGTGAAGGAAACAGAAGGTCATCCACCACAGTCCACAGCTTTGCAACACTACATGGGGAGGGAAGTGAACTGGCACAAGGGGGGACTATAGGGGAAGAAGAGACAAACGCAGAGAGCCGCCGCAGGAATAAAGGCAAGCAGGAGTCTGGGGGGGGAGGGGAGAGGCACACAGAGGGTTGGGGGAAAGAGAGGCACACAGAGCTGAGGGGGACAAAGACAGAGTGGCTGGGGAACACAGAAAGGCCTGGGAGGACCAAGGAGACACACAAAGAGACACACAAAGGGACTGGGGGGGATAAAGAGACACAAAGGGAATTCAGGAAAGACATACACAGAGGTCCTGGGGAGAGAAAGAAACCCAAAGTGCTGAGGGGGAGAGACACACAGAGGGGCTGGGAAAGGGCATACAAAGGTGTTGGGTGACAATGACACACATACATGCTTGGGGGACAAAGACACATAGTAGGGCAGTGTGGGGACAAAGAGAGAGGCTGGGGGACAAAGACACAGAGTGGCTGAGGGTAAAAAGAGACCAGGACAAAGACACACAGAGGGGCTTTGGGGGACAAAGAGACAGCCAGAGGGACAAAGACATAAAAAGAGGCTGGGGAAGAAAGAGACACACAAGGGGAGAGGCTAGTGGGAGAAAGAGACCCAAAAAAGGTGCTAGGAGAAGAAACTGATAATCCACAACTTTACAAAACACAGACAGATGAAATGAATAACATTGGTAATATTTTTACAATGGCACCTGTAAAGGGGTGAGATATATTAGGTAATAAGTGAACAGTCATTTCTAGAATTGTATGTGTTGGAAGCAGGAAAGAGAAGCAAGTGAAAAGATCTGAGTTACTTTGACAAGGGCCAAATCATGATGGCTAGACGTCTGGGTCAGAGCATCTCCGATGATAAAAAGGTTTGTGGGGTGTTCCTGGTATGAAGTGTTTAGTACTTACCAAAAGTACAATCTGTGAACTGGAATCAGTGTCATGTGCACCGAAGGCTCACTTAGGGCATGTTTGAAGTGAAGGCTAGCCTGTCTGGTCCAATGACATAGAAGACCTACAGTGGCTCAAATTGCTAAAAAAATAAGTATGCTGGTGATGATAGAAAAGTGCAGAACACACAGTTTATCGCAGTGTGCTACATAGTCTACTGCTGAAAGCGCCTTCACTGTGGTTATTAATGTCAGAAATTGTCCATGGCATGATGTAAGAAGGTTGCCTGGTCTGATTAATCACTTTTTCTTTTAGGCCAGGTGGTTGGCTGGTGCATGTGCGTCTTTTACCTGGGAAAAACATAGCAGCAAGTTGGGGCTGCATAGCCGCAGACCAAAAAGAGTGCCCATACCACCCTTGTCTACTATACAAAGCACTTTCAATTGGGACATAAGCATCAACACAGGACCATAAAGCAATAGGTGGCGGTTGCCTAATCTTTCAGCTGGATAACTGGGTGTGTTGTTTACCTAGAGAAGAGATGGCAGCAGGATGCACTATGGTTAGAAGGCAGGCTAGTGGAGGCAGTTGTATGCTATGGGCAAATCTTGGATCCTAGTATTCATGTGGATGTGACTGACACTTACCACCTACATGGAGATGGTTGCACAGCACATGCACCCCTTCATGGTAATTGTGTTTCCTGATGGCGGTGATAGTATAATGCATTCTGACAAACTGCAAAAATTGTTCATGAATGGTTTGAGGAACATGACAAACAGTTCAAGGTGTTGCCTTCGCCTACAAATTCCCCATATCTCAATCCGGTTTAGCATCTGTGTGATCTGCTGGAACAATAAATCTGATGTATGGAGGCCCCACCTTACAACTTGCAAGACTTAAAGGATCTGCTATTAATGCCTTGGCGCCAGATACCACAGGACATGTTTAGAGGTGTTGAGTAGTCCTTCCCTTAATGCATCAGAGCTGATTTTGTAGCATAAGGGTGGACTATATAATAATGGGAATGTGGTTTTAATGTTGTGGATGTTCAGTGTATATATTTAAAATCTAGTTATGTCATTTATTTTATTTCCTGTCGTCCACAGTTTTGCCTCAGTACATCGAAGCAAAACCATAAAAAACTGATAGGTGGTGAAAAAGACCAGGAAATTTAGCCAACGTGTCAAATTCTTCAGTCTCTACTTTTTAATGGAAATTGTATGAAATATACTAGAACTCAACTAAGCTGACACCTGTTATTGTATACACACTGTGTGTTTAAAGGGACACTATAGTCACCCAGACCACTTCAGCTCAATGGAGAGAAACTGCTATGTTTACATAGCAGGGTTAATCCAGCCTCTAGTGGCTGTCTTCCTGACAGCCGCTAGAGGCGCTTCTGCGACACTGGATGCGAAAATCACATTCAGCGTGCAGAACGTCCATAGGAAAGCATTGCTAAATGCTTTCCTATGGACTGTTTGAATGCGCGTGCGGCTCCTGCTGTGCATGCGCATTCAGCTCCACTCAGGAGCCGAAGTCGGAGTGGGAGGAGAGGTCACCACCGCCGAGGGAGCCCGACACTGTATTAAAGTAAGTAACTGAAGGGGTTTTAACCCCTTCAGCGCCAAGGGAGGGGGGCCCTGAGGGTTATATAGCATCAGGAAAACAAATTTAACTATTTAAACTAGGCAGGAAATGTCTCCAAATAAAAACCAATATTCAAAAGAGAATAAAAATAGTACTAAAGAGTTAATGTAAATCGTATTTTAAAGATGGTACAGTAAACACTGTACCTGAGTGAGTGTAATTACCAAGTTCTCTGGTTCCATTTTTTCTTTCTGAAAGAATATGTGAGAAGATAACTTGTCTTTGACATGTTACTGTATTGCTAAGCGTTATTGATTACGGAGGTTTAAGAACACCAATTAAATCAATATACAGTTAGTGCAAAAATGAAACATGACATGTTTCACTTCACTGTAGGTTATTTCAGGCCTTTGCAGCATATAAGACACAAAACAAACTATCCCCTACATTTTAAATCAATACACATGTGTACTACACAGGTGCAAATTAAATTAAGAATACACCTGCAAAGGACATTTTATAGAAGACTGGCCCACACAATCCTTTGGAGTCTTTGTATTACTATAGCAGCTGATGACACTTCCACAGATAACAGTATTTATATACCCCCCAGTATACATGAGATGTGTAGTGACATTTCCAATAAAGCATTTAAACCTTATACAGATCAATGCCCAGTTACTGTCAAGAAGTGTTATTCTTGTATTTATTGCATTTGTATTTATTTTCTTCTAAAATTCAAGAAATAAAGGGAACAAACCTACTTAGCTGGCATACAGGCAATGTTGCATGCATAGCACCTTTATTGTAAAACTTACAGGCACACAGACAGTACATATTTCATATTTCTGTAAATGGTGTAAATGTCCTCTACTAAACAAACATTAAAATGTTAAAATATTAACTGTAATGAATGATACATAGCATCCTTTTGTCATTATGATGATGAGTATGAACACAGAATCCCCGTTAAGGAGAGATCGTAAAATAGTAGATTAATAAACAACATGACAGGTTTAGTCTCACTACTTAACAGCACCAATCCACATTCATTGTTGGGAAACTCAAAGAACACAGCAGCATTGTCCACCATATAAACAGTCCCGAAAGATTACAAATATTGAAATTAATTTGAAGAAATGATTTGTGTACCCAGTTCAATTGTGCTTCACGTCTCACATTCAATTCCACAGGCTGGTGTTTCCCCGACGTTTTCCTTAACAAAAGAAAGAAAAAAGTTACACTTTTGGTTTAAATGCAGTATTCTATACAGTCCCCCAACACAATCTCTTTTGATGCAGGAGCATTACAATACAATTTGCATCTCATCAACTCACTGGTTCTTTATTACAACTTATGAGCAAAGTTAGTTAGAAAAGATAAATTGTTTAAATTCGCTCTAGTGGGGCTTTAGCAAAATTAGTCATTTTTGATTCAGCTCAATTATCTTCAGTTGGGCTCAAAAACTCCTCCGTGGTTCACTTCATTCACAATTAACCAAATTGAAACTGCTTTGAGTGGAATGGATCCCTGTTACTTTCCAATGTATCTCATTGTAGCAGTGAACTTGGTATAGAGAGTTCTGCCTAAACTGAATTGCAACTAAATGGAAGCCTAATTTCCTTGCAATAAGAAAAAAGAAAATGCTGCTATGGTAAGAGTGTGGTCTGAAGTATTGCTATAGGACTAATTGAGGTTGTGGTGAAAGTTAGGTTGGCATAGACTTAGTGCTACGAGTGCAATTTTGAGACTTGGGCATTCGTTTTCAGACAAAAACATTTTGTCTAAATTTTCTGGAATTGGTAAATTTTTGAAAACAACAAATTAAACAAATTAATTGCTTGTTGGTCAAAATCGTGTCCATGCAATTTGTTCATTCATTAGTTAGTTACAACAAAGTATTTTAAAGGCTTTCCCATGCTGTGCAATTTGAGCCAGGGTGCTCATTTAGAGCTCCCACGTGCCACCAATGGGTGTGGACTGAAGGCTTACACAAGGCTGCCTATTTATAGGTCTAGGCTCCACTTGTGGGGCACAGAGGGACACTTTATAAATTTTTTAGGTACCTAACCTTGGATTAGTGACTTAGTAATTTATAACAGCAAGGAGCCAGTGGCTGCTTGCAGCTTAGTAAACATGCACCTACTAGTGGCATGGAAGGTAGGGGCACGAGGTAGAAATTAACCCCTTAAGGACACATGACATGTGTGACATGTCATGATTCCCTTTTATTCCAGAAGCTTGGTCCTTAAGGGGTTAAACCTCCCTTATTTACAAATACTAAGACTTTTCATAATATTGATCGTTCAGCATTTTACTTAGTAGGTAGCTCCCTAATAATTATGGGAGATTGCTATAAAGATACCAAAAAAAGGAGCTATATACTACACAACTCCCTAATTTGCAAACCCTTAAATGTGGCAATTCGAAAAGGGTGCCAATTTAGGGTGCTATCAGCAAAATTGCTGCAAGATGCAGCTGCAGCAAGGATCGCTGTATTTCATTCAGACGAAACTAAAATAATGGGCAAATTTCGAATTAAAATGTATGAACAAATGGACTAAATCCGATTTGGACTGTTGAGGGAATTTGAGTATAAAATGGTTAATTTGGGTTTAAACAGATTAATTTGAGAATTGATTTAGTTTTTGTTATTTTCCTTTCTATTTAAGTTGAACACTTTCACATACTTGTTCTTTTCAAATAATGTGTATTACATTTTTCAAAAACAACTTTGGAAACATCAACTTGGGCAAAGGGTATTCTAATAAAGTATATAAACATTTGCAATTAATTTAGTGAATATAAAGACCATCGGCTCCAAGAATCTTCTCTAAGTGCCTAAGAATGAGATTTGCCTTGTAAGAAGCCAAAATATTTATATTTGTATTTACCGTTTTCAATAAGCATTTATACTTTAAGGATAACTCTGCTTTTTGGTTTGTAACTTTAGCTTATTTTTTAAATAAATATATTAAAACTTTTATGTGTGAATTTTCTCACTGCCCATTTCTGTAAATATTGTAATGTAGTTTCTTATTCTTGTTTTATAACAGAATAGGAAAATTTCTTACACACAAAGCATTGGAGTTTAATGCACTAGTACGAGTTTGTTAGTGATAATTTATCTCCACGACATTGTGTAGGCAGGAAATGTGAACCCACGACAGCACGAAACAAATTTTGAAAAAAAAGGAAAAAAAAGCTTGATAAAGATCCCTAAAGGAATCGAAACGTTGCTGTATCGGCCATGTTTTTCCAATAAATCTGCTGATGTATGAAGACCATGAGTGCCTGGACTATTTTGCTGTTGCTATATGGATTAGGGGTTTGCCAGCCCTAGGTACAGTGCACTGAGGTCTACAGGTGATGAGACTGCGGATCCCTCCTTTTTTTGATAATCAGAAAGCTACACTTTTTTTCCCCATGAAAGCCACACAGTGAAATCTGTGGAGCTCATATACTTACTTCCTAACGCTGGAAGATGGGATCTTGGCACAGAGGGTGGGCCTAACGGGTTGGGCATGCCATTATGCAAGGCTCTGAAAAGGCTCTGTTGGCCGAGGGTGAATACAAGGCAGGCTGACTCATAGCCTATTAACTGAATGATTGAGTACTTTATGCAGTATTTATGTAGTGAAGCACTTGCATTGTGCTTTAAAGGAACATGTCCTCAGATGCAAAATATCAGGGAATAAACCCAGGGTCAGGGCCGTCTTTAACGCGGGGCAAACGGGGCAGCTGCCCCGGGCCCAGTTTCTCTTGGGGGGCCCGAGGCACCTGCCCCGTGGGCCCCGCTGACCCCGGCGGGCGGGTGGCCGGTCGGGCAGGAAGGCGGGCGCGCGAGGGAGCACTCACTGCTTCCTCTTCAGCTCCCTCGCGCACCGCACTGATGCCGGAGCCAGAAGATGACGTCATCTTCCGGCGCCGGCATCCCTACGCGGCGCGCGAGGGAGCTAAAGAGGAAGCAGTGAGTGCTCCCTCGCGCGCCCGCCTTCCTGCCCGACCGGCCACCCGCCCAAGAGCCCCACTGGACCCCAGGGAATCCCCCCAGCACTCCAAAAGGTAAGGAGGCTGGGGGGATTATTGTGTGTATGTGTGTGTTAGTGTATGTGTTTGTGTGTGTGTGTTAGTGTGTGTATTTGTGTGTTAGTGTATGTGTGTGTTAGTGTATCTGTGTGTTAGTGTATGTGTGTGTGAGTCAGCATGTCTGTGTGTGTGTCAGCATGTCTGTGTGTGTGTGTCAGTATGTCTGTCTGTCTGTGTGTCAGTATATATGTGCGTGTATATCTGTGTGTGTCAGTATGTGTATGTGTCAGTATGTCTGTCAGTGCGTCAGTATGTCTGTTAGTGCATGTGTATGCATGTGTCAGTATATCTGTCTGTGTGCCAGTATGTCTGTGTGTGTGTGTGTCAGCATATCAGTCTGTGTGTGTCAGTGTATGTGCCTGTGTGTGTGTGTCAGTATTTCTCAGTGTATGTGGGTGTCAGTATATCTGTCAGTGTGTGGGTGTCAGTATTTCTGTCAGTGTATGTGTCTGTGTGTGTGTCAGTATGTCTGTATATGTGCCTGTGTCAGTATGTCTGTCAGTACGTCTACCAGTGTATGTGTCTGTGTGTGTGTCAATATATGTACCTGTGTCAGTGTGTCTGTCAGTGTATGTGCCTGCTTATCTGTATGTAGTCAGTGTATGTATCTGTGTATCTGCTTGTGCGTCAGAGTGTGTACCTGTGCATCTGAGCCGCAACTTTAAATACAAATACACCCCTCCATTCAAACTTCAACACTACATATAAAACACACTCCTGCATTGAAACGTCAACACTACATACCAGCACACTCCTACATTCAAAAACAAACACTACACATAAATGCACACTTGCATTCAAACTCTAGTACCACATACAAACACATTCACACAAACATACTCCATACAAACACATGCT